GGGGGGGGGGGGGGTGTACAGGGACAATGATGGCATGCTTGGACTTGTAGTTTCTTAGCTGATATACAATATATGTGTGGGGGGTACAGTTCTAGTGGATGTTTATATAATAGGGGGGGGGGGCGAAAAAAAATGTTCTGCCCCGGGCGCCCATAACTCTGGTTACGCCACTGATTGGTTCCAATACATTTTGTCATGTTGGGAAGCTGCTGCAGATATGACTCTAATACAGTCCTGCATGTGCTGGCCTTTCATCAGCTTGGTCTGGTATAGGCAGTGGTGTATTTTGGTTTTCTGCTGCCCTAGGCAAGAGTAAACTCGGGCACCCACCTCAATCTAAATTTGCCCCGCCCCTTCCTGTTTAGAACATTTTGCACAACCAGTCAGTCACTGGATACAGCGAACACGGGTTCTCAGGAGTCTCAGGGTGGCTCAGATGGGCTGTACAGGGCTTATGGTGGGCTGTGTGGGGTCATGGTCTCAGGTGGGCTGTACAGGGCTTATGGTGGGCTGTGTGGGGTCATGGTCTCAGGTGGGCTGTACAGGGCTTATGGTGGGCTGTGTGGGGTCTCAGGAGGACTGTGCAGAGTCCCTTTCCCTGAATACATGTGCTACTCCTCTTACCTGCAGCTCGAAGTGCCATCTGTATTAACAGGATACATTGCAGTCCCCCAGCCTGCTTCTGGGACATCCTGCCATGCTATGGCCAGCCTCGAGCCACCTGCTGCTTCTCCTCCACCTCCTGTACAAAGCCAGCCGGATCACACCTCACTGGGCCCCCCCCTCCACCGGGCAGCTCTCTAATTAGGCAGCCGCTCTTAGGAACTTGCGGCCGCGTAGTTTATCACATTAGGCAGCCGCCGCTGCCTGATTCTGTGCCGCCCAGTATGCCCAAAGGCACGTCCGGCCCTGTCCGCCTCATTGGTTTGGGACGGCATTTTCTGCTGCCTACGTGGAAAGTGCCGCCCTAGGCAAATGCCTAATTTGCCTTGCAGTAGATACACCCCTGGGTATAGATTTCTAATTAAGTTCAGTATATTGCTAACATTTGCTGTACCTTTTGTTGCTCCTCCCACATTTCTTTTGCTGTTTTTCACTTTCATGGCTGCCACTGGGTGTGTGAATGGAGAACTTCTCCCTTGGGGGAGGGAGGAGGAGCAACTCTGAGCCTTCGCCCCCGGGTGACAGAATGTCTTGCTTCCCCACTGCACATGGATATAGAACTTTGAGCTTTTGTGATCTTTCTCTGTTCATTCATCTATCGATGGGTCTGGTCTGGGCTCAGAACGAATATAATTGTCTGAAAATACCACATTTTGGCCACTAGATGGAGCTGAGCAGCATGGGAAATATGTGTTGCTCTTTAGCTCCACCTAGTGGCCATAATGTGGTATTCTCTGACAATTGCATTCGTTCTGTGGAAGAAAATGTTTGATTTTGCCCTAGTGACACAGAACAAATGTAAATGTCCGTTTTCTCAGAACAAATGGCTCTGCAAACCTTTTATTAATACATCCCTGTAGGCAGCCATCACATATGCTTTCTGAAAATTTGTCAGAGACTGTTTTACTATAACTCTGAGTTGTTATCACGTACCTGGTGGAGGACCGATTAGCTGAGGAGGCCTCCCTTGCGGCTCTTGTCTCACACCCCTGGATGTGGAAACAGGGAGCGAGTAGACAGAGAGAAGCACGGGTGCCAAAGTGTTCAGACACGGTGCCTGGTAGAAGTCCGGCAACTGGATCCCTGGAGGGATGAGCAGAGTCGGTGCACAGCTGTGATGCCAGCGAGGTTTGCAGCAGAAACTGGAGCGAGGTCAAGTCAGATGGTACAGAAGGAGCAATCAGTCGAAGTCAGCAGCAATCCGGGTCGAGGTAACAGGCAACAGATCAGGAGGAACACAAGCACAAGCTTAAAGACCGTTCAGCACTGACCCATTGGGCCAGCTGGTTTAAATAGGAACATCTATTAGAGGGCCGTGAGTCACTCCCTGTGAGCCACTGTGTCACTTCTTGTGTGCAACATTCCGTTGTGAGCGCATGTGTGCTAACACATGTTTTCCGGCAACCCGGAAGACTGGGACCCGCGTATGCGTAGTAGCACGCGAGCTCCCGGCTATGGCCTTACAGTTGTATCTGGATCTGTATGTGCAGCAGTGTTTAGTGCTATGTAGCCGGGCCCACAAACTGTTGGAAAGCTGCTGCAGATATGACCCTTGCCAGTCAGATGGTGCCGGACTCATGGCTGAGCACTTCTCGGTTTACTAGGAGCAGCAAGAACACAGAGACCGAAAATAACATCATAACCCTGTAATTCCTCCAGAAAGAACATTGCATTACGCAAACATTAAACAGAACACACACACTACCCCCTAGTGGCAGAACTAATAATCACAGGAGAACAGCTGAGAATGGTTGTCACACCTATGTTTGTATAAACAGAATGTTCTCCCCTAAACAACATGTATATGATGTGGAATTTACTAACAAGTGTGGTCTTGCTCCAGTGTCTGTATGTACACCAGATAAGTCGTGCCTAAAATACAAATCTGATGTTTTGTAATTTTAAATGCACCTACTATGTAGGAATAAAACCACGTCATGTGTCCACTCCACAGCTGCCAATAAAGGAACTAAAGGAAATCCTAATTTATTGATTGTCTCAGTTCATGGAGGGGTTTTGTAGCACGCATGCTCGTGTCTTTATGGGCATGTGCATCTTTATGTGAGCTCATAGTCCAGAGGCTTATATAAATGAATCTGGTCATGTATTGGGAGAAGGATGCAGCGGGGATGATTCTGATTGTGACTCCACACTGCCCCCTGGTGACCTGTGACAGCACAGCAATCATGTTCTAGGATGAAATGTTTAAACTGACAGTCTACTGATGACATGTAATGAGAACAACTTCCACCATTTTAATTCTCTGTGTCTGTGTCTGCAGCTAACTTGGCGTCCACTGACATTATGTTCCTAGTGTGCTGCGTCCCTTTCACCGCCACCCTCTACCTATACAAATACGTAAACTAAACATGAGATTGTAGTTCATCCCGGGAGCGAGCTTGGAGCGGTGACAACTTTTCAACACACGCAGGGACCATGGGGAACAAAAGTAACCCCCCTCCAGAAGGAAGGACAGTGTCAGAGATGATTGGAGGATCTACAGCCGAGTGATACACAAATAAGATACATTGTTGTTCAGTTATAAATATATATTTGTAAGATTTAACTCCGGAGTTTAGTGTCACTTTAAGTGCTCAAACCACCGACATTCCACGATGACTTCCACCGCTTGGATATCGCCTTGTAATGGCGTCCTCCTCCTAAGTTCTCCTTAGAACTATGAGGTGAGTGAAAAGCACCCCCCCTCCCCCCCTCATAGTTCTCCTATACTGTATGCTGGTTACATCCCATAGTTTATAATGCTGTAAATCCCAGAATTTAGATAAATCTCCCCCTTCAAGTGAGTGTCCATCTCTGGTTCCTGAAATTAGGGGGGAGATTTATCGAAATTTATCGAAATGCTTTACAAAGTATGCAATGTATCCAGTGCGCATTTAGGAGGAGGACCATAGTCCTGCGCAGGGGGTGTGCTGTGTGTGCCTGGGCACACCCTAATCACCCCGAGGGCAACACCGAAACTGTAACAGCAGGTGCCTTGTTTTTAGTCGCGGAGCCAGCGGAGAGATCTCTCTGTGACCGGCTCAGTGATACAGAGCGCAGCAGCACTTGCCACTTACTTTCCTCACATAGCAGCCGCAGTCCTCGGTGCCTGGGAGGCTTCGAGGGAGGGTGGCTGCAGCTTCCTAGGCTTCCCATCCAATCAGGAAGTCAGGCAGGTGGTCACATGACCACCTACCAGGCTCCCTGCTTCATTACTGCACCCCTGCTGGAAGAGGTAAGGGACAGTTGAACAGATGGGAATCTGGGATGCCTCAGGTCTGTGTATGTATGTATATATAACGGAAAATTGTATACTTACCTATCGGTAATTTTCCTTTCCTGACGCCAATCCATGGCAGCATATGGGACATTGGTATGCTGCCATGCTGGTATCAGGAAATATATATATATATATACATACACGCGTGTTGTGTTTGTACTTTTGTTTGCACACGCTTATGCAATAGGCTGTGCACGTCTATGAGGAGGACGCCATTGCAAGTCGATAACCAAGTGGGGGAAGTCATGGTGGCATTTCGGTGGATCGAGCACTTAAACCCTCCCGTTTTTTTCGCCTATATCTACTGCTATCAAGCAGTAGATATAGGCAAACAGTTAAAAAAACCCGCTAAAACAGCGGTTTAAACTTACCTTTTTTTCTATGCGCGCTCCCGCGCCGAGAATCAGGAACTGCTCGTACGGCCGTAAAGCATCTTGGGGCGGAGTTCCCATTCCCGGCCGGGAGACGAGGAGAGACGCAAGGTAGGTCTATGGACGGCGTGCACCCGCCTGCAGACGCCGCTGGATCGGAAGTGCCTGCACGCAGAGAGGTGTCGGCGCTGGATCGGAGAGCCGCCGCACCGCTGGAGGGACAGATGAAAACATGGGGAAAGAAGAAGAAGATCGGAATAAAAGACGTCATCTAAGGTAAGTGCTGACATTAACATGGGGGGGGGACACTTTAAAGCCTAATGAAAACGTCGCTGATATTCATAATGGACATCAGCAGCAAAGTACTTCATAGGAGTCTCTCCCTTCATCTTCCTTAATGGCACTTCAGTCACAATAATGTATACAGTGCGAGTGATCCTCCGCTGCGGTATTAGGCCGGTTTATATTTAACATACGAGAGATAATGAGCACCATGAAGGAGGTTTAACATCAGAGGATTGTAAAAAGAACTTCTGACTTGTTACAAAGAGACATTATACGGCGTATTAAAGATCTCATTTAGAGGCACTCTGAGGTCCGGATCCAGCGCGCCGCTCTCCGGGGTAATATCACAGATCTGTCTATCTTAATTAACCTCTTCAGTACCAGTCACTATCTACCCGTCACCTACCTTCAGGGAGTCTGAAGTGGAAAGGGCGAGGACGAGGGCAGTACCAGGGGATGAGGCAGGAGCAGACGTCAGGGACAAGCCGAGGGTCGAAGCACTGGAGAGAAGCAGAGGGGTCAAGCCAAGCCGGGTCAATAACAGGCACAACTCAGGAACAGGATGCAGGAAACACAGGGAAGCTGACAAATCTGACAGCAGAGGAGGTTTGGTAGTCACAGCCTTTGTAGCCCAGAGGGCGCCAAATATTCCAAGAATACGTCGGCGCGTGCCCATGCGCACAATTGACGCACGTTCACGCACAGACGCCGCACCTGACACAGCTCTATGGGCTGCACCAGGCGTATGCGCAAACCCCGGAGTAAGAATCCTGGCTCTGGCTTCCTGACACTACCCCTTCCTTCCCAGGCCAGTTTTCAGTATGGTGATCCTCTGACTGACAATTACTCGGTCATACAACGCCGCACACAGATGAATTTTATGTCCTTTTTAAGACAGAACGTGTTTCTTTTGGTGATGTGTTTTTTTTTATATATATATATATATAAAGGAAAAATGACAAAAATCCCGTTCTTTCTGATATAAAACATAAAAATACATATTATTTCTTCATAAATTTAGACCAAAATATGTTATAATTAATCATAATAAAAATATTAAATGGCCATCCACAAAACCGTGTCCACCCACCAGCCATGCAGTGGTCCAGTACAGAGGGTGGGTCTGGTTTTGGTAAGGGCTTGTTCGCACCAATTGCGCTGCGTTTCAGAGCGGTAGCTGCTGGAACGCACTGCAATCACTCACATAACTTCCCCCCTTTGTTCTGGGTCGGGAGGGGGCATGACGGTGCATTAAAGTCAATGGCACCGTAGCCACGCCCCCAAACGCCCACCCGCAGGGGCGCAGTGGACGCGTGGCGAGACATTGCCTGCGTTCCGTTCCACTGCAAATGCAAAAAGCAAGCAGCTTTTTTTGTGCGTTTGCAGTGGAACGGAACACAGGCAATGTCTTGCCACGCGTCCGATCACACTGCTGGAACGTGGCTGCGGTGCCATTGACTTCAATGCACAGCCACGCCCCCTCCCGCCCCAGAACAAAGACAAAGGGGGAAGTTATGTGAGCGATTGCGGTGCGTTCCAGCGGCTACCGCTCTGGAACACAACGCAATTGGTGTGAACAAGCCCAAAAGGGTTTTGTATTTGTACTTTATATTTGTATTTTGTATTCTGTGTTTTGATACAATTGTTGAGTGTTTGTTATTAAATATGAAACTTTTTTTTCAAAAATAAACCCACCTGTGTCAGCGCAGAGATACTTTGTCTCAGCCTCTCATATGCATTATTACTTTTTGCACTGTATCTAGATAAGCCCGGACACGGGAGGATTGTGATCTATGTTTGGGATATAATAAGTAGAGGGATGTGGGGTGATGGTGTGGGGCTGAGGGGGGGAATTTTTTTTTTAGACATGTGCGATTCGTTTCGTTACGAATCGAAATTCGTACGAATTTTCCTGAAATTCGTAGATTCGGAAGCATCCGAAATCCGAATTGCAGTTTCCGAATTATATCCGAAATACTAAATTCCATTAACGAATTTCGGATCCGAATTTCTTTGAAACGGGAACTAATGTTACCCCTGTAAATGAGGTTGAACAACATGACAAGATTTTTTTTTTAATCCGAAATACGGATCCGCTGCTGCTGAGCGTCGCATTACAATACACAGGCGGGAAATACGAAATTCCGTTGACGTATTTTCGTTCCGTTACGAACATTCGTTATATTGAAGGTAAAAAGCAAAGTACATTTATATTGGACTTGATGGTAGTTTTTTTTTTCATCCGAAATACGAAATTCGGATCCGGAATCCATTAACGGAATTCGTATTTCGGATTAAAAAAAACAACGACCAAATCGACTCCGATATTAACAAAGGTATTTTTGCTTTTTAACTTCATCATAACGAATGTTCGTAAAGTTACGAAAATGTGCCGAAACTAACGAAAATCCGTATTTCGTACGAATGCGAATTGAGTTTCGGACACGAATTACGAAATACGAAATAACGGATATTACAGAACGGAACAAATTTTTTGACGGCGCACAAGTCTAATACATTTCTTTTTCCTCATACACGAGGAATTTGTGTATTTTACAAATGCCGCTATGTCTCCAGTACGGTAGTAGAATTTGTGAATATTTGATATGCCGAGCTCGGCAATACTGGAAGTTACAAGGGAACCAAATAATTGCTATACACAGACTCCCCTCTAAAAGCCGGGCGGCCACCGTACAGCACTGACCTGCTTATTGTCTGTAACTAACAGTAGCTAAAAGTGGACCTGTCATCAGATATATATTTTTTCATGTAAAGTGCACCTCCAGATATTTATTACCTCTCGCAGAGATCACATGACGCCCCCTGACAAGGCCTTCATCTGATTTTCTCTCTAAAAGGACAGCTCCATCTTTGTTCAGGCATCACCCAGGGTCACATCTACTTCCTGGAATGAGATGCTGGGCTCAGAGATGACACAATCATGTAAATTCTGGTGCCTGTGTCACAAATGTCTGACAAAGGTCAGCCCCCGATGAAGCCTTGCTACAAAGTTACAATGTTGCAGTCTGATCACTGGGGGAGGGGGGGACTGTGGAAATGCTTCCTCCTGTCTGCAGCAGACTGATCACTGGGGGAGGGGAGACTGAGGAAATGCTTCCTCTTGCCTGCAGCAGACTGATCACTGGGGGAGGGGAGACTGAGGAATTGGTTCCTCTTGCCTGCAGCAGACTGATCACTGGGGGAGGGGAGACTTAGGAAATGCTTCCTCCTGCCTGCAGCAGACTGATCACTGGGGGAGGGGAGACTGAGGAAATGCTTCCTTCTGCCTGCAGCAGACTGATCACTGGGGGAGGGGAGACTGTGGAAATGCTTCCTCCTGCCTGCAGCAGACTGATGACATCATCTCAGCCTAGGCAAAGTCATTGGAGCTGAAGGTTGACTTTATGATAATAAAAGAGGGAACTTTTCTGAATAATGATCCTGTCGCTGTATATTGTGACATGTGCGGGGTTTAGTCGTGCAGTGACAGGTCCACTTTATTGGTTACTTAGTTTCATCGCTGAAAGGTTTATTGTTGTAAACAAATGATGAAAGTCCGGCGTCGGGGGAGGGGACGGACGGACGGATATCTTCCTATAACGAGAGCTGATTCTGATTCTTGAGACATTGTAATGTGTGTGGAAGGTGAAATGACACGAATATTCTTTTTGTTTCCATGGCTGCAGGTGACAGTTCAGGCCACGTGTATCACGCTGACAGCGATGAGCGCCGACCGATGTTACGCCACATTGTATCCACTGCGGTCGCTGCGGCATCGCACCCCGAGGGTGGCCATGATTGTCAGCATCTGCATCTGGATAGGTATTCACCCGGTGTTCTGTCGAAAACTCCAACTCGTCGAGTTCTCCAACGACCTGACTTCTAGTTTAGTTAGAAGTAAGAGGTTTGGACAAGAAGGCCGTACTGTACATGCGCCACCTCCCTATACACATACTACAGAGCAATAAAGTATTAAAATGTACTAGGACAGACTAATCCAGCACGTTATTAATCTGAATTGCCCCACCGCAAGCGGCGGCCATATTGAGTGGGGTAACTTAGATTAATAACTGGAAGTCATGTGGTTGGAGATCTCGACGAGTTGGAACTTTTCGATAGAATACCGGCTCTTCTCTATTGGAGGAGTGAGGCATCTTCCGGCTCTTCTCTATTGGAGGAGTGAGGCATCTTCCGGCTCTTCTCTATTGGAGGAGTGAGGCATCTTCCGGCTCTTCTCTATTGGAGGAGTGAGAGTGAGCTACAGCTCGCGGTGTACTGAGACCGCCGCAGCCGGGACGGAGCCCGACATTACTGTCTGGATCCACCCAGCTGCGTGAGTGACAGCTGGCTCAGCCTATCTAGAGGCAGAGCCAGCTCTACACGCCCCCTCCCCCGTCCGTTCCGCCAGTCAGCGCTGGAGGAGAAGAGAGGGTGGACAGGGGGGAATCCCTGCAAGGAGCCGTGAGTGACAGTCACGGCTCTCTGCAGGGACAGGATCGAGAAGTGAGCAAGCGACGGTTTGTGTATTTTCACTCGCCTCATAGTTCTCCTTAATTGGTTCTGATTGGCATGCTATAACAGGACAACCTCATGACTTCTGTAGATGTTCTGTGACGGTGTCTTTATTTCATCCCCGATCTCTGATCTTCACACACAGGCTCCCTCCTGCTCTCCACCCCAATCATTCCCTACCAGAAGATCCAGGAAGGTTACTGGTACGGCCCGCGCACATACTGCATCGAGCAGTTCCCCTCGGACGCCATGAAGAAGGCCTGCATCCTCTACCAGTTTCTGGCCGTCTACCTGCTGCCCCTGCTCACCATCTGCCTCTGCTACTCCCTGATGCTGAAGAGAGTGGGCCGGCCCGTGGTGGAGCCCATGGACAATAATTACCAGGTATGAAGGTTCTGCAGACATCCGGCTTTCTAAAATTAAAGCCCAACAGAACCTTCAGCTAAATATATTCCAGGTGCATCAAAACAAAAAGTGTCAAATGGCTTGTAATTCATTTTCTTAGCCACAGCCTGAGTAGAAAAGCCTGCCCCCTGCCAGACCCATGCTCTCTCTATGGAGGCCCACCACATAGCAATGCAGAATAATAGCAGCTATAGAGGACTACAAATCCCAGCAATACATTATATAGCAACGCAGAATAATATGAAGCTACATACTCTGTGTTGCTCCAGGGGGGGTGGGCTGTGTGGAGTCTCATGTGGTCTCTCTGTAGAGGTCCAACACCCCCCTTACTTGGTCAGATCTATAGCTCTGCAATCATTAAAGCGTTGGCTCCCTGCTCTAGGTCTGTAGAGAGTGAGCTGGACCTCTGCAGGGAGATCACTGCTTCCACACCAAGAACAAAGCTCCTTCTCTGCAGCGTGCTGGCAGGGGACTGGCTTCTCTACTCAGGCTGTGGCTGCTTTAGAAAGAAAATTAACTTTACGGCTTTTTTGCACGTCTTTTGTTTTGATGCACCTGGAATGTATTAAGCTGATTTAAAGTGACGGTTCAATTGCACCAAATACAAATGATACATTATTATGGCCAGGTCAGAAAAAATCAAGTTAAAAAAGCCTATTTTTGTTTTCTTTTTTTAATTTTGAGAGAGAGAGAGAGAGAGAGAGAGAACGAGAGAGAGAGAGAACGAGAGAGAGAGAACGAGAGAGAGAGAACGAGAGAGAACGAGAGAATGAGAGAGAGAGAACGAGAGAGAGAGAACGAGAGAGAGAGAACGAGAGAGAGAGAGAACGAGAGAGAGAGAGAA